TCTGGGGAAGATAGTCAGAGAACGGGGCGTGGCGACGCTGTAAGAACGATTGTCACTGTAAGTCACGCTGGTGATCAGATATCAGGATACATCGAAATGGCTGCCTTATTGCCCAGCTATTTTGCCTCCTTTTGAATTTTACGGTAGAAAACGCATTTGGGTACCATAGGAGTTGCAAGCTGTCAGTTTCGCAGATGGATGAGAAAGCTCATGTTCCAGATGTTTGCAGGGGTAAGGGAAAAGGCTTGCCAAGCACTGGAACAATTCAGTCATTGTCCTGAGCTTTTAAACTCGCACAGGAATTCGTCTTCGGAGGTAAGAAACAGCAACGGAAATGGGACTCAACCGGAAACACTACTGATGATATGGCAGACTCTGCCATACATCAGCGATGTCCCAAAAGTGACTGCGCACGTAGCAGCGGAACTAGGTGTTGGAATTGCAAACTGAACTGAAGCTACAATGCGCAACAGTGTGAAGAAAATTACAAAAGCGGCTTAATCGCAATGAACAATCTGGGGTAATGTATCGCCTTCCATGCCTAAGCTGTCCTTGTAATTACACAGGCCAAGCAGAATGCATGCTTCGATTGCGCATACATACATATAAGCCAGCTGCAAAACAGGACGACAAATTATTACATGTTACATTTCACACTTATGAAATAGGCCATGAGTTCGACTTTGCAGCCGTCAAGGTACTCACCCACGCCGGAAGCAACACCGGCCGCGAATTGCTTGAAGCCTGGTCCATGGATGGAAACTAAATCAATCGATCTATCGAATTGGCACCGGCGTACAGAACTCTGCGCAGTCACGTCCAGACTTCCGTCACTGACATTTACTTGGTGTACACCCCCTATAATTATCTTCATTTTATGGCTGTTTCGTACCTCTGATGATCAGACGGCCTCTGTCAGTTACTTGATGTATACCCCCTATAAATGCCCCTTTTCTTGCTGTTTCTTACCTCTAAAGATGAACTTCTGTAAGAGTTTGAAAGCTCAAAACACTAAACCTATTTATCCAGTGCTCTACAAGCCTTACTCCTTACCCAATTCCGTTGATGTTTGATTGATTTTCATGCAATCTGTACGCGTTTGTTCTAGTAACTGTATTTTAATCAGCTTGTTTTGTTTTGCACTATCAACTGATGCTTTACTAGACACATCAGCCAACCTTGTGTTGTGTTTTATTGGCTGATTCGTGGACTGGGCGTCAGGCGGTGTTGGACGATTCTCCCGCCACGCCGTGCTGCATAGCAGCGTAGGCAGATGGATAATCGATATAAAGACGGTCGTACGGTCACTCATCGCGTATCATTTAATTAGAGCGCGAGATAGGCTGGAGAAGTTAGTGCAAGGGCGGGGCGCAGCGAGGTTGTAAGAACGGCAGCACCCGGGACACTAGCTTTAGCGCCGCCTTTTTTAATGCTACGCTTGTAACGTCGATTTGGCAAACACGTGTTTTTTATTAATTCTTAATCACTAATACACGCGAACATGCAAGTCCCAGGCAGTAATTGTGAAGTGGAAGACGACTCGAGTGCTGGGACAATATGTTTATTCGCCTGACGTTTCGAAATCCGTTGCGGATTCGTCATCAGAGACATACTCACAGAACAGTAGCAGAAACAGTTTGTGTGTGCACAGGGTTCTACCATAAAATTTAAACGTACAGAAAAAATCGATAAATGCCTTGACTGTGCGTTGATCCGTTGCGTCAGCAATGAACAT